GGAATCTGATACCCTCTTCTAGCCTCCATGGGCACTGTATGACATGGGGTACACTTACATGCATGCAGGCAAAACACTTATGCATGTAAAATAAAAACAATTAATAAAAATTTCTAAGATATAATATTGCCAGGGGACACTTAGCTCACCTGGCGCATTCAAAGAAGATTTCCTTAAGAGACACAAGTTAAGTCTTCAAAGATGAGAAAAATAGGTAGCAAGGATTCCAGATGGAGAAAACAATTTGTACAAGACACAGCTGCCCAAGTGCTCACAGTGAGGCAGCCTAGGACAGTAGAGGCTTTGATGGGATACAGAGCCAGATGCAAACCAGGTCCGAGAAGCCCTTGTTAGGTCTCATTGAAAAGTTAATAGTGATCAGAGCTGATATCTATGTAGTGCTTACATGGGGTTAAGTACTTTAGAGCATTCTTTTATTTGATCCCACTGTAACTCTATGATTCCCACCTTATAGACTGAGTGCTAAGGAACAGAAAGTAGAGTAACTGCAGCAGACTACACAGTCAGCAAGTGGAGGCAGGATTAGAACTCAAGGGAGCCTGATCTTCAGTCTGTATCCCTCACTCCACCACCACCAGTCCATTCCTGTAGAATGAGGAGATGGACACACTGGGTCTAGCTCACTAGGCTATAAAAGAAAAGGGATTAGAGGGCTTCCAATCGCTGGTCTGTAACCAGGTAGAGATAGGAGAGTAAGAATTCACAAATGTGAAATGCATCCCGAGGCCCTGAGAAGGAAATAGTCAACCGCCCCCCCTCCCCGGTACAGTCAACAAACCATGGGGACTTGGAAAGAAAACAGAGCTTAATCATGTTGCCTGCCCACAGGGGTCAGCACTGTATCCTGTTCTTTGCCTGAAACACACTTGCACATGTGGAACTCAGTGAAACCAATTCATTTAGAATTATGTCTCTGGCTCTGAACATTTCACCCAGAGGGAGATACTCAATAAATACTGTCAAGAAGGACAGCTGGCCACTTTGGAGGACAGCATTAACAAGGCAGGCACCATTACTGATCAGAAAAACAGAGTTACTCCTAGGGTCTGGAGAGATTGCTCAATAGTTAAGAACTCTTACTGCTCTTGCAGAGGGCCTTAATTCAGTTTCCAGCATCCATATTGGGCAGCTTAAAACTGCCTGGAACTCCAGCTCTGAGGCATCTGACACCCTCATCTGGCCTCCACGGGCACCTGCACTCATGTGCACATACCCACAGGCAGACGTGCGCGCGCGCGCACACACACACGTAATTAAGGTGATAAAAATAAAAGTTGAAAAGCGGTATTCCCAAATGCAAAAAGTCATGTAGGTGACAGAAAAGAGATGAAAGGAAACAGAAAACATGGAGCATTTATGTTGAACAGGCATGCCATAAGAAGTCCTCCTCCCTGTGGAATGCTAAGCCAAAAAGAAGGCAATGAATTAAAGCCCTGGCTAGCATTATGTAAAAGACACCACTTGTTAAAAGAAAGATCTTCTTAAAGAAAGTGGTCTAGCACTGAAAAGGTGCCTTATAGGGGACAAAAAGAAATAAGGAGACCAGAGATCAAACTGTGAGAGTAATGATTCCTTGTCTCTGAGCTAAACAAAGTAAGCATGCCATTTGAGTATTTGTAGAAACATTTAAACCTGGTGACACTATTACCAATGTTCTGTCCTCTGTGAGAATCTTTTCAGAGGTATCTGAAAAGAAAAAGGCATGTTTTTCAGGTCTGAAGTTGTCAGGATATGTTTTCCCCAAGAGTCACTACTAATTTTGGAGCACTGAGAAGAGAAACACATTACATCGAAAACAAAAATTAGGCAGGGTGCGGTGGCTCACCCCTTTAATCCCAGCACTCAAGAGGCAGAGGCAGGCGGATATCAGTGACAGCAAGAAGAGCCTGGTCTACATAGTGAGTTCCAGGTCAGCTGGGCCTACAAGGAGAACCTGTCTAACACCCCACCCCCAAATTTAAAATTGTCATGGCCAGTGAGATGGTTCTGCAGGTAAAGGAACTTGCAACCAAGTCTTACAACCTGAGTTCAATCCTTAGATCTCACATGGTAGAGAGAGAGAACCAACTCCCAAAGTTGTCCTCTGACCTTCTCCACACACATGCAGTGATATACACACACAGTAAATAAATAGTTTAAAAAATTTTAAGTGTTCTAAGCATTTTTCTTGGAAGCTGGAGAGATAGCTTAATGGATAAACCACTTGCTATGCAAGTGCCTGTACCTGAGTTCAGATCCCCAGCACCCACATAAAAAGCCAGGCACCTGTGCTGGCCGCCTGTAATCCCAGCACTCAGGAGACAGGATCCCTAGGGCAAGCCAGCTAGCTAAGGTAGCCAAAGCGGTGAGTTCTGAGTTCAGCTAGAGGCCTAGCTCAGTAAACAAAGCAGAAGACACCTGGTGTCAGCCTCTGGCCTCCACACACATGCACACACATGTGCACATGCACATACATATGTGTGCCCACACATATTCCACACAGTCCCACACACTCATACACCACACAGACATAGATGAGAAAAGAAAAAAAAGTATTTTTCTTAGTGGAAGTTGTTCGTATAATGAAATCCTTTGCTCACTTGATAAGCTACTAAGTTAAGAAAGGTGTTTTTTTAAAAAAAATGATGACTAGGATTTTGCAAATGGTATCATCTCTTCCAATCTTATCTTCCATTAAGGCATTTTGAAAAATGTTCTCATAGTTTACCAATTATGTCAGAAAAACCCTGATACCATTCACTTTCAGAGAAAGTGAAAAGACAAGTAGCATTATATCTCTCCTCTTCACGTAGCTGTCTTCTACCTTTAAACCATCTTTGAAAACTTTAACCAAATAAATAAATTCAGAATGAATTGTCCAACCATTTCGAAACTGAAATTCCATAAGAATATCAAAATTCTCAGTTTTACAAAACTCTTTACCCCCCCAAAAGCACCAGGCCTCTCAGATAATTGTTTAAAATTGTGTGTATAAATGACTCATGAGGTATAAAGTCTGGAATTTGCAAATCATAAATCTTATCCTTGTAAACAAAATTGAGCTAAAAAAAATCAGAGCCTACTAATTTTGCTGTTTTCTGATCTAAAGCAAATGTTTTATGGTCATAGAAAATGAGGGATTATCATGTTTGATGATCATCAGCAAAATCAAACTCAGTTTTTCTTTTAATTTCTTTTTGTTTGTTTATGTGTATGTATGTATATGTGTGTATATGTGTGTGTGTATGTGTGAGTGTACTGTATGGATATGGTATACATGCAGCTGCATGTGAGAGAGTTACTGTACAGGTGTGGTATACATGCATGGGTGTGGTGTGTATGTGCTTGTGCATATGCACACCCATGTGGGTGCCAATGCCCCTGTGTAGGTACTTACAGAAGACAGAGGAGGACATTGGGTGTCCTGCTCTATCACGCTCCACTTTATTCCCTTGAGACAGGGTCTCTCCCTGAACCTGGAGCTAGGCTGGCAGCCAGCAGGCCCTAGATAGTCTTTGCTCCCCATAGCCCTGGGGTTACCCATGCTTGCAGCCAAGCCCAACTGTTTACATGGGCTCTGGGGATTTGAACTCAAGTCCTCATGTTTGCACAGCAAGTACTCTTACCAATTGAGCCAAATCTCCAGCTTCCCAAACTCAGCTTCTAAGAGCATGCAGCAAAATCAGAGAGTTGAACATTTTAGTACTACAATGTGTGGAGACCAGTCAAAAGCAAAACAGCTTTTATGCAACTATAGAGCTAGAAAACTATATTGAGATTTGGGGGGGGGGTGCTATTGTTTTTGTTTTGCCTCCTGAAAAACTTCCAGCCATCTGGTGGCATTTTTAATGTGATCCATAACTTTAAAAAAAGCTCCCTGCTTAATTCAGATTTTCTGAACCACATCCCTTAGCCTCACATGTAGATTTCACCTAGATAAACCTAAAAATAAACCTACTCCTGCACTGAGGTGAACAGGAAGGTCAAGTTTTCTGCATTTCACCCCAAATCAACTGTCTTTGCTTCCCACCGAAGCTGCTACAAGCCATCTCTTGGTCCCAAAGGCTTGGGGCAGGGGTGTGACAGGTCAAAGATGGAGAGGACGCAAACAGCCAGGTCACTGTGCTGAGAAGGAAACTTCCACCCAGAAGTTCTCTGAGTTGTCAGAACAGTGTTGGAGACCAGAGCTTCAAAGAGTCTAACTTTTGACCTAGAATTTCAGTTTCTGCACTTTGTATAATATCCAAGGCCTTAAGAACTGGTTCCTGCATTTCCCTCTCCATAGAAATGTAACTCTTGAGACAGGACCAGGTGGGCATCTGAGCTAGCTTTGAATTTCTATAGAATGTCAACTGCAGAGACTTTAACTCCAGGCAGTCGGGACTGTGACTCCAGGCAGCATCCCCAGAGCACAGTACCTAGTGGGAGCACAGTCCATTACTGGCCGTCTATCTGACCACTGGCACTGGGTCCTCATCCACGCAGGCCACATGACAGTGGGGACAGATGACTGTCCTTTGAAATCGCTTCTTTTCTTAAACTTGTAACAAGTAAGGCCGGGCCGGGAACCCTGGCAGGGGTTGGGAAGCCGCGAGCTGAGGGGCCGGCCAGGCTCAGGGTGTCCAGGGCGGGCTGGGGCCCAGGTGTGCAGCGCTGGGCGGCCTGGGCTGCCTTCCCCGGCCGCTGCTCCAACTTCTCAAACTTCCCTTTCCGGGGGTGCCGCCCGCCCGCAGCCGACGCTGGCCTTTCGTGCACGCACAAAGGGGTTAGTCGCGTGCCCATGTTCCCCGCAAGTGGACTGTCCTGCTTTTTTAGGACAGATCGTTCCAGATCCCCGCGGGTCCGGGGACTCAGGGACCCATCGCTCCGGGCCGCTGCAAACTTCCCGTTTCCGCCCTCGCGCCGGGTCCCGCGGCCGACTGTCAAGCGCAGCCGGGGGGAGAAGGACGAGTGGGGAACCCAAATGGACCCCCAGCGTCGCGCCCCGGGCACTCACTCACCCGACTTGGGAACTTGCGGTGGGATCGTGCTGGCGATGCGCGTCCACAGGACGATGTGCAGCGGCCACAGGCCCCGGAGCAGCCCCCGACCCATGGCAGCCCCGGGCGCTAGTCATAGACCGGCCCCTGGGGCGCCGCGGACCGAGCCGCCGGGACCCGGGGCTGCGTCTCTGCTCCTCGTCCTCTCCGGTCCCCGTTCTGGGAGCGCGGAGCAGAGGTGCGGACCAGATGTGGCGCGCAGCTGGCAGGCGACCGGGGAGCCTGGAGGCCGGGAGGAGGCCCCCGGCGGCCGAGGGGAGCTGCGCAGCAGGCTCCGGCTCAGTCCCCGGGCTAGCGTGTGCGCGCGCGGGGGGTGTCGTTGGTCGGTGCGCGGAGTGACTCACTCATCAACTTTACCCGGGCGCCGGGAGGGAAACAGGAAACTCCTCGCCAACAGCTGGGCAGGACCTCTCGCTGGAGAGCCTCCTAGCTCTCAGCGACGTCCAGCCCCTGCCTTCCTCCAGTCGCCAATCAAGGCTGCTGCCAGGACCCCAACAAACTTTCAGCCGCCCCCTCGCTGCCTTCCCACGCCACTCCGGAGGTCCTCGCTGAAAGTCCTTACTCAGAAGTGACTAAGTGCACGTTTCGCAAAGTGAGCCAGAAAGTGTTTACACTTTCCTTAACTCCAACTAGCATCTCCTCTCTCCCAGCAACTATCTGGGAATTGCTTCTGGAGGCCTCTCAGTTTGCAAACTCTTTGAGACCCAGCAGAGTGTTCTGAAGTCTAGCTGGTTGCGTCTTCACATTGCTTTCCCTTATAAAATAGTGGTGAGATTGCTTCAGGCGACTGTTTCAGTTTTGTGTGCATGCATGCTTGGTCAGATTACGCAATTTTTTTCTTTACAGTGTGATAAAATTTAGAAGTTTGTCTCAAACCTTGATGTGCATATTAATCACATTGCATTGGAAATCTAGCAAAAATGTAGATTCCGGCTGAGGAGGTCTCAGCCTGGATGGTCTGCAGCTCTAAGGAGCACCCGGGTCTGACCCCTTCCCGGGCGTGGTTCGCGGTTTGCCAGGTAAAGCCAAACTGTCAGCCATCCAAGTGATCTCGGTGGCCAGTATTAGTTTCAGAATGTAACGTGGGGGCAGAAACTGTGTTCTTTGGAGTTGGCTACCTGCTTTACAATTGCTCTTCAATAATATAGGCGAGGGAAGAGAATTCCTGATCTGTAAGCAGAGAGCAACAGTGTGAACGGGCCAAGGGTGGTGCACCCTCTCCAATTTCCCTTTTTCCTCAGATGACCGGATTTGCCCAAACAATCTTATTTTACCTCTGTTCTGCTTTGCAGGTTTTGTGTGGTGTGTTTGTACGTGTTCAGTGGGTGCATGTGCACATGTGTGTGCCTGTGCACATAGAGAGAACTAGTCCATATCGGATGTCTTCCTCAGTCTCTTCTCTGCCTTATTTCTAAAATTTTTACTTATTTTTATTTTATGTGTATGAGAGTTTTACCTACCTGTATTTAAGTGCACTTACGTGCAATACCAGTAGAGACCAGAAGAGGGCATCAGATTCCCTGGCACTGGAGTTAAGGATGGTTGTTAGCCACCATGTGGATCCTGAGAACTGAACCTGGGTCCTCTGGAAGAAAAGCTTAGTGCTCTTAACCACTGAGCCATCTCTCCAGCCCCTGCCTTACTTTTTGAGCCCCCTTTTGAACTTGGACATAGGTGATTGGTTAGACTGGCAGGCCAACAAACTGAAGACATCCTCCTACCTCTGCCTTCACAGCACTGGGATTTCAGGTATGCCCAGCTTTGCCCAGTTTCATTTCATATATATATGAAGTATATATATGTACACACACACATGTACATATATACATACATGCACACTCTGGTGACACCAGCATACCAGCACTTTCCCAAAGCTCTAGTACATGAATGAGGGAGGAATGCTGGCTTCTAAATATATATATATAGTTGGCTTCTATATCTATATATAATTTCTGTGTGTATGGATGTGTGAGTGCAATGCATGGATGTATCTTATATGTGCATGTGTGAGTGTGACTGCACACGTATGATCCCAAAGGAGGATACTCAGTGTCCTACTCTATCACTTTCTGTCTTATCCCTTTGAGACAAGGTCACTCACTGAGCCTGGAGCTAGGCTGATGGTCAGCAAGCCCCATTGATCCTCTTGTCCCCACCCTACAGAGCACTGGGGTTATAGGCACATGGGTGGCTCTTGGCCAGGATTTTTATATGGGTGTTGAGATTTGAACTCAGGTCCTTATGCATATGCAGCAAGCTCAGTGGGTATACTGAGCTGTATTTCTAGCTCCTGCACCCAGATTTTATGCTGGGGCTGGAATTCAGCTTGGGTCACAAACACTTTACAGACCAAACCATCTTCCCAGACCTGCTCTGCAGCTTATTAATATAAATTTCATTCTCTCTCAAATGTGACAGATTGGATAACGAATTACATGATCAACTGACTTCCAGCTCTCAAAACTACATATCCTGAGTAGCTCACTGCTCAGGTCTTCAGGCTGCTGGCTGTTCATACAATGGATTGCTATACCTGAGACAGGCTGTCCACCAAGTTCACCCAGAACAAAAGCAAGTCTTTCCCCACACCCAGTGCCTGCTGTCGGCGTTGGCAGGCTAGGGGTGCATTTGTTGAACTTGGAACTTCAAAGTCTTGCTCTAACAAGCACCAAAAGCTGCATCTGAATATGTCTTCAAAGAAAATACCACCTCCTGGCTCTCATGCATCTAGTGCCGGAAGTGCAGGGCAGACCATAATGGCGGGACACTCTGGTGACTCCACCATACCAGCACTTTCCCAAAGCTCTTGTATATGAGTGAGGGAAGGCTGGCTTCCAAATCCATTTTCCCTTTCTCTTCCCAAAGCTCTCCCCAGGACATTGCCATCCCTTGAGTGTTTATCTTGAAAGTCCCTCCTTCTTGGGTGGAGCTATTCTGGGCTCTTCCATTCTGCTTATCAGATCAGAGCTGAAGGAAGATTTTCAAAATACAAGTCCTGAGTTAGCTCATTTAATGGCTTCCCAGTGCTCTGGAGCTATAGAAGATAGAAACCAAGTTCTTGCTAGAGCTCTGGCTTCCCTGACAACCCTGACTTTGGCTGCATCTCCTAGACTGCCCAGAGACAGTTCTGCATTCTTGAGCCTGCCTCTGTGGGACCCTGCTCAGAGCTTTCCAATGTGGCCTTCCCTTCCTCTGCCCAGTTGACTGACCCTCCTGGGGTGGGCAAGTGTTCCTTGACTTGACTCCACGAGTAGATTTGACATGTCTCTTGGCCCCATATACCTGTCTTTTCTAGCACTTATTCTAGTTTATGTTTGGTTTTTTTTTGCTTTTGGAGACAGTGTCTCATGTAGCAAATGCTGGCCTCCAACTTGCTAAGTAGCTGAGGCTGACCTTGAACTCCTGATCCTCCTGCCTCCATCTCCCAACAGCTGAGATCACACCCGACTTCTTTTACAGCACTTCTTATAGCTGCAATGCTATGATTATTTGTGTCATTATTTGATCTCCAATCCCATCCCCCACTCAACTCCAAATGTCTTGAGAGAAAGCACCACATATTTCCTCTACTTACTCCTGTATTCCAGGCACTAAACACATTACAGGGGCTTAATGGCTGTGCATTGGATAAGTGAACTATGCGGTAACAAAGACTCAAATGAAAAGCACCCTTGGTGACCTAGTTATTTCATAATTCTGGAGAAAGCATTATGTAACCTAGAAGTTAGACATGTGAGAGATTAGATTTCAACAGGGCTATGTTAATACTGCTTCCTTTTCCTAAGAATGGAGAAGTAAATGCATTCCTTTCTTTTTTCATTGTGTTTCCTGTTCCCTCTAATTTATCTAAGCATTCTAGCACATGATACATGCGTTGTCATCATCGTCTTCTCCGAACACTCCAAAATGAATAAAGGGCCAAACAATTCCAAAGGGGCTAGAGAGGCAGTTTGAGCCCCAGAAACCACATGAAAAAATTGAGGCATAGTTTGTAAACTCAGACCTGTGGAGGCAGAGGATTGGTGGATCTCTGGGCCTTGCTGGCCATCCAACCTCACCCATTTGGCAAGTCTCAGGCCAGTAAGAGAGCGTGTCTCAAGAAAGCAACAGCAAGACAACAACTATGCAGTCATAGCTCTTTCCTTACCTCCAGCCAATTGTGTGGGAGCTGAGACTCCTGTCCCTTCAGGATTAGACTTCACCTCTAACCAGCTGCCATGACCAAGGCCAGCATTGCTGCTGGATGAAGGTATGATGGACTTTAATTCAGCTTTACAAGAGACTGAAGTACAGCTTTACAAGACTGCCCTCATCCATGATGACCTAGCATGTGTAATTTGTGAAGCCGCCAAAGCCTTCAGCAAGCACCGAGGGCATCTTTGAGCGCCTACATCCAATTGTGGTGAGCCTACCGATACAGCAAGTGAGTGGAGCCCCTTTGTGCTCAGCACCAAACCAACTTAAAGTGGATGACAAGAAACGAGAGGAATTAAACAGTCCTCTGCAGAACTGATTAAGAGGGGAAACATAAAGTGGTAGGCTGCAGTTGCATAGTGGTTAAGGATAGGCACAAAGAACCTCAGTCCAAGGATGTCACTGAAGAAAACTGCAAAAGCAAGAAATGAACAAATAGCCAGGCATGGTGGTGCATGCTTTTAATCCCAGCACTGTCAGGGCAGAGGGGGTTGCAATCTCTGTAGGATTGAGGCCAGCCTGGTCTACATAGCCAGTTCTAGGCTAGCTTGGGCTACAGGGAGACCTTATCTTCTTTTAAAAAATGGCTCAGGAAAAAATGTAGATGTCACCTGAATAATAGGCAAAATTCCCTCTGCCCTTCACACACAGGTCTGTCTACACACACACACACACACACACACACACACACGCACACACGCACTCCCAAAGACTGCAACTATGATGCAGACATGCTTCATGTTGTTAGAGCTTGAGTCTAGGGCTTTTCATTCCTTGAGCACTCCCAAAGACTGCAACTATGATACAGACATGCTTCATGTTGTTAGAGCTTGAGTCTAGGGCTTTTCATTCCTTGAGGGACCTCTTATTGCTAACACTGACCTCAGTTGTGTTTACCTTTTACATTTCTGATCTAATCTGCAGTCACGTGCAATGTAAGGAGGATTGAATTCAGTATTGCCCTTCCAGAGCTCATCACTCTGAGAGCACAGAAACACAAACCTATGCACAGTGCAGTTAGATGCTCTGAAAACTTTTAAACATTTAAAGTACTTATTTTAACTTTCATGTTTGCCCTTCCCTTTGAGAATCGGGTATAAAGTCTGATACTGTCAATTAAGGGATTATATTTGAGTTGGGCATGGAAGTTCAGGCCTGTAATTCCAGCGTTTGAGAGACTGAGGTGGGAAGATTCCAGCAA